GGTGCTGTTATATAACAGGGCTCTTTGGCATTTAGTAAAGTTACTTTTTGGCCTTATTCTTTGTAACTTGCTTACTTGTAGCTGCCCTGAAACAGGCTTAATTTTTTAAATTGAAAAACTGATTTAGAAAAACTAAGTTCTTGTAATTAAGGGGCAGTCCCTCACACTGAAAATAGTGCAACTGGCAGGGAGTTAGACTTGCCACTTAAAATGAGTTATTCTGTTCTGTGAGGATTTTTTTTTTCTGCTCTTGAAATGGGCAGAGTGAGGCAATCTACAAAAAACATCTCTTTTTCCCTCTTCCTGACATACACCCTCTAATTTTTTTTGGCAATAAAACTTTACTATCAGTTACTCCAAAGCCTTCAACTCTTACTCCTTATCCGTGTTTGCACACACAAAAAAGTTTGCTGAGCCCCTTTTATCGTCTTTGTTTGCAGGTCTATAACCTAGAGGTCCCCAGACTCCTGCTACTCTTGTCTTGTGTATCCCCCTCATGCCCAAAGTTGTTTACCGTGACAGTAAAAGGAAGGAGTTAACAAGCTTAATCCTTTCATGAATACAAACTGTTATCCAGTTTTCTTTTTCACACCTTTCATGTTCTGTTTTGTCTTCTTTTCCCCACACTCACTTCTCAAAGTATTCCACCTGGTGGCAAAATTAGGGAAATAGTTAATGGAAATGGTTCACATATGCATAGATCAAGTACTGTAAGAACTGGTAATACAAGTCCTAATTTATTCCAGTTCCCTTTTTTACAGTAGTGAGAAATGAGAATATATCTGTGTGCCTTAAATAAGTTTCTCAAGTTTGTTTTTTTTGCATTTATAGTGAAGTATATTTGACCTCTGACACTTTATATTGCTATGCACTAAAGATAAATAAAATGTGATACCCTGACAGTAGGCACAGAGGACCATTCTAACACTGATAAGACAGTACTGTGTATTCAGTACTTTGTTCTATTTCATGAAAATTCTCACTTCTGTGTATGCCAGTTGCAGAGAAATTGAAACAGACTGTTGTACTTCCAAGTAAGGTAGGCTTCCAGATATCTCCTGCAATATTTGACTTCTTGTTTCATAGCAAATAAAAACAGTGGTTGTCAGGAGTCATCTGGAAAACGTTCCTCCCATTCAGGAGAAGAAGGCAGTTCATTGAATGGTGGCATTTCTTCAGTCTTGTATTAAGGGAAAGGAAGGGGATCAATATTAAGAGGAGTTAGCTTCTGTAGTTTGACTACAGGTGAAAACTTTGCTATTACTCTGTCATGAGGTGTGAAAGCTCTACTCCTATATACTTTAACACTGCCGAACTGCTTGATTCTAGAAATGGCAAGCAGGAAGCTGCTTGTCTTTTTATGTTGCCAAGAATACATACCTTAAAATGATAGGTATATTACTAGAAACTGTTGCACACATTTGGGAAGCCCTCTGAACGGTAATGCCCAGTAGCTGAATGTCCCAACATTCTTCAAGTGTTCAGTAATGTCAGCTGTCCCATTAAATTAATTTTGAACTTTGTTCTCTCGTTTGACCTTCAAACCTAGTGGTAAATACTATCCTGAGTATGCTTTTATAGTAAATAAAAGATGAGATTTTTTCAGATTCAAATTTTCTGTTTTTCTAGCTACTGTGTTCTGTGTGTTCACAAGACCATTAAAATTGTTGAATTTACTTACCATATGCTGTTTCTTACAGGCTTATCACAGGATATAGAAGCATTACACTGTGACAGTATTATTTGAATGTTTCCTTATTTTCTGTAGGTCAATGTCAGAGTAACCACAATGGATGCAGAGTTGGAATTTGCCATCCAGCCTAATACAACAGGCAAACAGCTCTTTGATCAGGTAACTTGTCTGTGTGTATATATGAGTACAAACACATAGAAGTATTGTGTGTGTTAAGGCATAGTTTGAAAAAGCGAAAGTGTTCCCAAGTGCTGATTATGTTTTTCTTATGTTATCTAGGCTATGCTCTGAGTTAGTGTGAATTTCCTCATTACTTCTTGTGAAATGTATTGAATTCAAAGACAACTCTGTAAATAGGTTACCAGTGAGGCTTCAGCTGAATCATGTATAGAACTGTTTTGAAATTAATAGTATTTCTCATGTTTAATAATATTATAGTTGCGACTGCAATATAGTTGCTAGAATTACATATATTAGAAATTTGAATGTAACAGTAAGTTCATTAATGAAAGCTAACTTTTTTTCCCCAGCAATGGAAATTGTAGATTGTTTTTCACTTCCCAAATGATAGAACTAAATAATGCTGTCCTATGAACCAGTCTGAAATTTAAGTTAAAAAAAAAAGGGAAAAAACCCAATAAGGCAAAATAATGACATTAATTTGCTTATAGATTACAGACCTATCAGAACTACACATTCTCACTTGATAGTGTCTCTGTACATCAGTCAGAATGAATGATTTCTTAAAACAGAATTGTTCTTGCGCTCATGTGACACTAGCCATCAGAATCTTGAAACAATTTTTTGATCTAGGTTGTGAAGTGTTGTAGAAAACATTAAGAATAGAAGCTTGTCAGTGTGTTGTTTTGTTTCCCCAATATACCAATAAATATGTTTTGTTTAAAAAATGCAGAAATATCTGAAATTACTCTTCAAAACCAGTTCAACTAGATGAATAGTTATGTCTCTTAGAACTGTTGTTTCTGTCTACTCCACTTTTGATGCTTGAAGTATGTACTGATGAGTACTAAGAGAAAGTAACACATTGCAAGAGTTCTTTAAGAACATTTAAACTTTTAGTTGACCTTTTAGAGTCGATAGAATGTCCAAGTATATAACTTAAAAACAGGAGAATGTTTATTATATGTAACACTGAACTTTTTCTTTTAGATGAATGAAATTTCATTTGCAATTTTCATTTGAAATGACTGTCTGACTCTTATATTGTCTGTCCCTTTCTCTAACGTCAGTGGTAGTATGTCTTCAGCCTCTACATAGGAATAGACTTCATGATTCTTACAAGAATTCTTGGAAAAAAAGGAGTTGTCTTGCTTTTTGTCTAACCAACATCACCATCAAATAAAAGTATGGTATTCTGTGATGTAGAAGGCTCAAGCTGTTCCTTGTCTTCTGCCAACCTTTGCTATCTTCTGCCATGCAGTATCGGGTGGGGTGACATTCTGCTGTTTAAAATCTTGTGTCCAGGTAATCAGGTTCATCCAAATTGGGGCATTGGGAACAAAGATACAGCTCTGAATTTGTTTTCATGCTCTCTTCTTTGTTCCTCAGTTCATTATGTGGTGTTTGACGTCTCACCAGCTCTTACCTATGGAAGTTTAAATTGAAAAAATGTCAGGTCAAGAAAGAACAACCACCACAGTTGTGTGTGAAGAGAGAAGCATTTTCAGCTTGATCTTAAATTCATGTATGAATTCTACAGAGTAACATCAAGACCTGAACTGTATTGCAAAACTGTCATGAAATTTTCAGACAAAAGTTATCCTGTTTCTCTGGAGAAAGAGAATTTAATAGCACTGTTATTGAAAGGATTGGCTTATGCAGAAGTGGTGAACATGACAGCAGAATTGTTGATTATTGATTGCAGAAAATAACCTCTCCATGAATTTAGCTGTTATTTAGTGCTCCTCTACGTTTTTGGTGAACAATTTGTCCTTTTTTCAGTCAGTGTTCTTTTAAGCTTTTAATTGGTATTTTCTGGAGTTGTTGATTTGTTTCCCATTCCATGTGCATGCATCATCTGCTAGCAGACAAGAATGCAGCGTTTAACATCTGTGGCTTTCTCTTTTCCATTTGCAAACTCAGCATACTTTTTATTTATTGCACAAACTTTTTTATTATTATTATTACTTGCATTTCAGAAGGTGTTTTAACATCTTTATCATTGGTCTTTCTGTCTGTCCTGTCAGCAGTCAGAATAGGCAAGAGAGGATCTGTCCTCCTATAGTCAACCAGTTAAGCATCTGTAGCTTTCCTAGGAGAGGAAGAACCCTGTGGTGGGTATGTTTCCAGACACTGGTGGTATTACTGGGGTTGTTGTGTTGTGTTAGCACTGGGCTTTAGTAACTCTGGTTTACTGTAGTTGCCATTCAGAAAGAATGGGAGGGTTTTCTCTTTTATTTTGAATTATACCTTGCTGTCCTTTCCAGATGTCTCAGAAGCCTTCCTTACAGCCTTTTGGAAGGTGACTGAATTAAATCCTTGTTAGGTTGTTTTTGTGTATATTTTGATTTGCCAAAATGTATATTATTCTGGTTGCTTTTCTTCAGTAAGTTTTTTTGCCTATTAATAGTCAGGTTGTAGGATGTGATGGTAGATTTCTGTTTTACAGATGTGATGAAGACTTGCATCTTCAGCTACTTAATGAAATGTTTGAGCGAGAATCAAACTGCTAAGTTGCTCATTCTGTACTTATTGTATCATGCTACTGCAGTGCATAAGTGCATATATTAGCTTGGTACAAAGTTTCAGAAAGTTTTTCTTTTTTCTTTGGCCTGAGAGGCAGTGTAGGCAATGCTTTTTCCCTTATTTGTGGAGTCTGAAGTAAAACAGGCTAATGTGTAAGCTGTTTTTGGTGTTGATTTGCAAGCACATGTAACTCTGCACTGCTGTATCCAGGTTGCCTCTATATAAATAATAAGCAGAGTGCATCTCAGTGAAGGGCTGTAGTTAGTGGGTGAGAGCAAAATGTTTTGACGTGAGCATAAGCACGTCTCCTTATGCCCTATGGGCAGAGCTGTTGAGCATCTGCAGCTCTTTGCAGCTCAGAGAGCTGATAAGGTACAGAGGCTCAACTTGGACAGCTGCAAAGTAAAGAGCATTCTCTGTCAGCTGATAAAGCCATAAGTAGTTTGATCAACATTACGTAGGAGATCTGTGTCGAAAGAAGCAGCAGGTCTGAAATTTTGGTGTTGGGACACCAAATTTAACCTATGTTACTAGGACCCATAGTTACTATGTTACTAGTAACATACACTTATTCTTAATGTTTATGTTCTGAAGTAAATGATGTAAAGGAAATAACTGTGCTCACTAAAGACATCAATCAGGTTGGATCCGTGAACATTGTCCACTTTGTGCTTTGGAGCTTGACGGTGAAAGGGTAGAGGAGGAAAAAAGGTGCACAGTTGAATGATTGTTAAGTGATAATGCAAATATGCAAGGCAGCTGAAGTAAGTTTGCACAGCTATCTCATGACATTTTCTAATTTTCAAAATCTTAATTTTGCAACCCGATAGTACTACTTTAAAATGGAGGAGGATCTATGTGTAAAATTCTATTTACTTCACATGCAACTGAATGCTTCCATAAAACAGCCTTCAGTAAAGCAGCTGGCCAGCATGGTCCAACCTGAGAACATACGTAAGTACTGCCATGCGGGATCTTTTGGAGCCAGAGTTTGCAGTCATTTAATAATCTTTGCTGGACCTTTCTGATTAATTGCTTATTGAATCCATATGTGCTTTTGCTATGCAAGACTTGTAAAATAGTTCCACGGTTTTATTGCACTGTAGTAAAAGTACTTCTTTTTGTTTACTTTGAGCCCGCAATGTCATGATTTCTGTTGATTCTCTTAATTCTTATATTATGAGAAATAATGAATAATCATTCTCTATTTGCCTTCTACATGCCATGCAAGATCTGTATCATATTTTTCCTTTCCTTGTTTCTCTGTCAGTAGCCCTAGTTCTCATCTTAGCTATGCAGAAAATGTTCCAAGTCACTGATCATTCTTTTCAACACTTCTGAAACATTTCCAGTGCTGCAGCATCCTTTTTTTAAGTTGATGTGACCATCAACTTATGTAGCATTAGAGATTTGGGAATACCATACACATGTATAGTCATGTAACAGCCTTATTGCCTTTTTACTTTACAACTAGAGCTTTATTCACATAATTTAAATTGTTGTCTTTTATGTACAGTATTTTGTTTTTATGAAATACCATCTTTTATTGAGGCTTGTGTTTTTACGGTTCATTCACAGGAAGGTTTTCTACAGCAGATTTTGTCACATCAGTTTCATCCTTTTTAGAAGTCCTGTGGGACTTCAGTAGTGGTTACAGTACAAGTCTGTTATGAAAACAGAGGGTTTTTTTCTTTCTTTTTAACTATTGTATCCATAGCACAATCTTCCCTCAATTCAAGGACAATTTTGTTTCTTTAGTACCTTTGGGTGATAAACGTGATCAGAAATCTTATAGGAAAGTCATGTATGGTTTATTAGCTGGATCATCCTTATCCCTTTTATCAGTAACTCTCTTAGAAGGTTGTAAAAATATTTGAAGGAACCGATTCGTCTTTGTACCTCATACTTGTCCACAAATGTTATTCTTAATTGTCAATTTTCCAGTTATCTTCTGTAAGTGGACTTACTTTTCCATAGGTCTGCAGATCACTTCCCAGACGTGCTTTCCAATCTCAGGGTCCTGTTTACTAACTTCTGTTCCTCAGGTGCTGATGGAAGCAGTAAGCTGCATGTTCCACTTGATAGTTTTGAAACACAGTGTTTGCATTTATGTAGAGCTCTGGGGTACCATCAACCTGATGTTTTGCTACTATTTTATCTTTTTTTTTCTTCTTGTAAGGTTTGATTACATTTCAGTTTGAGATTTGTTTATGTAGGTTAATTACCATTTAAAAATTCGTAATGGTTACTGATGATTATGACTCATTTATCTTTAGGTGGTGAAAACTGTTGGTCTTCGGGAAGTCTGGTTTTTTGGGCTACAGTATGTGGACAGCAAAGGCTACTCAACTTGGCTGAAACTAAATAAAAAGGTAACAATACCCTAATATTGAGCCTCGTGTACAGTTTGAAATATACTTTACAAGGTTTGCTGCTTTAATGCTGTAGGTGAGATATAGCTGACTTCAAATTTAGTCAAAAAATTGCTTTTCATTTGCTTTAAATGACAAAATACAGTGTTAAATTTGATTAGTTATAAAAGAATATGCAAAGCTGCATCAGTATTTAATTTGAGAAGGAGATAGTTTTCAGTATTTACAGTACTGTGGTGATGCATGCATTAGGAAAACTGATTCATATGGTTGTCTTGTTCTCATTTAGCAAAACAGAATAAATGTTTTACAGTTTGGGCATGTGTACCAGAACAATTTAGGCTCCAGGAATTTGTATGTGTATAGATCTTTTAAACAAAGCACGAACAGCAGGCTTCTAAACTTCAGGTATCTAATAGGTAGATTGTAGGATAACTTTTGTTTTGTTTTGTTTTGTTTTGTTTTTTCCAAACAGCATTGAGCACGTTGTATCTCTTAGCTATTGGGAACCAGATCATTTTACTTTAAGCTGTATTTGTGAATCTTTGAAAGACCACATCTCATCTCTTCACAAAAATCACATTTATAAAGCTTATCAATTCTAGAAAAATAATGTGATTAAAGAAATTATGTTTTTTCCACAGGAACAAAGCACGTGTATTTAGTTTGATAGTTCAAAGACTTTTAAAAGAATGCCACTTTACACTGACATCGATGAAATGTGCTGTAGTTCTTCCTAAAGAAATGTTGTTAGACCCCAATTTGTTACTTCCCGAAAATCGTCCATGGATATAGTTTTTATTTTTTTAATGTCTTTTACAGCTTCTTTTTTTCCAGATCTTTATTATGATAAATACAGCTTTCACACAAGCCTACAAAAAAAATCTGTTAAACAGCCTTTAAGTAGTATTTCAAGACTGTCTAGTTTATCCAAATTGGTGTACTTGATTGTTCCATGTGAACCTTTAGTGAGTTCCACAGTGGGCTTGCTAGGAAGCACTGTGTTTCAGTTTAGAGTAGCTGAAGAGTTCAGTACTACATAATAATATTTAATATACCTTTTAGTGCTCTTTTTATTTTTTTATGTGTTCCTCTCCCTCAGGTAACTCAGCAAGATGTACGAAAAGAAAATCCTTTGCAGTTCAAGTTCAGGGCCAAGTTTTTTCCAGAGGATGTATCTGAAGAATTAATTCAGGAAATAACTCAGAGACTTTTCTTCCTGCAAGTCAAAGAATCGATCTTAAATGATGAAATATACTGCCCACCAGAAACTGCAGTTCTTCTGGCTTCTTATGCTGTCCAGTCCAAGTATGCAGATTACAGTAAGGAGATCCATAAACTAGGCTACCTAGCCAGTGACAGACTTCTCCCCCAGCGGTGAGTGAGACTGATTTTGCACCACCTGCTGCATATAAACTTAATTATTGCACATTTTTTAGAAATAAAATATTAAGTGATAACGTGCATTTAATGATGGCTTTCTTAGGAGTTCATGTTTTGCTAGTAAAATTTGGAGATCCTAATTTAGACTTTAAATAACAAGGAAGTGTCACAGCCACAGATTTCTTGAGACGTATTTCCTGTCCTGTCCACAAACACCTGCAGAGATTTAGTTGAACACACTCCCAAAATACTCCAGAATGGGTTACTGTTATTGGAGACCTGCTTCTAAACTAAAATCAAAATACTCCAATATAGAAGCAACTAAGATTCATTTGATACTCTCTCCTTTTGTTCATTTTAATGTTTTTGTACATGTAAACGGTAATTATTTCCTGAAAGTTATTGTAAAGTGTACTGCAAATAAAATACATTGCAGGAAAATGCTAGCCTGAACAGAAAATTTAGAAACTAAATTGTTGCTGTTGAATATAAACTCTTTTGTAGCAATCACTTACCTAACTGGTTTGGGAAAGTAAGCACCAAGATTACAGTCCTATTTCTTTATGCAGCTGAAACCGTGCTCTTGGTGTGTTTGGCATGAAGAGAAGCATTGCAGCACAAATGTACCAAGTTAGACAGTTTTGTTAGTGTAGATGGATACATAGTGATATATTGTGGGTAAATGTGTAGTTACTAAATATGTAACATAAATCGTCAAAGAAATGAGTGACATGGAGTAATTTGAGGTTTCTTTAAGTCATATGCTTTCTAAACTAAAAACTCACTTATTAGCATAACTAAGCTCGAGAATTTTCTAGCAAACCAGTAGGCATTTCAAAGATTGTGGTGAAGTATTGAGAGAAATATTTCTGAAAATGTTTTTAAAAAATGCTGATGAAAACCTTGGGTTTGGCTGTTTGCTTCCAGCTTATGACAGTGAAGTCTATACCTTTTCCTAGAAAAATGCCTTTTGCTATGAAGGCAGGGAGATGTAGAACCAGTAAAACTGTCATTGCTGAGTATGTTCACAAATCTTGGTTTTTGCTCAGTTATGATGACAGTCTGTGAACACAAGAGTGCTTGGGTACAATGGAAATTCAAATACTTAAGATTCTTTTCAGTAGACAAATGTTCAGGTGATTTTTTTAATTGTCCTTTAAAATAGTTTCTCCAGGAATGCTTGAAATGCTGAGTGTGTGGAATAAAAACATAATAGAGTTATCATATGCATTAGATTTTTTTACCACAGTACTACATTGAAAGTTTTGGTATATAATTGGTAATATAATTCCATATTATGGAAGAGTTGTATTACAAGAGTTATGTCTACATAAGTCTTGTAGACAAATCTCAAATAGCTTTCTGAGCCTGCTTTGCTATTGATTTTTTTTTTTTTTTTTTAAATAAAAGAAACCAACACACAAAACCCCCAGAAAGCTTGTCTGCTAACTTGTCTGCTAGTTTGTTACACTCAGGCTTCCATTCTGTTGTAGTTTGAAAGAAAAAGTGTCTTTGCATACCTGGAAATTAATTTGCAGCATTGTTGTGTGAGGATTCTATAGGTCTGCATTTTCAAGTGTTCCAGATGTTACATTTTACAACTTTACTGCTAGCTGAGATATGCCATGGTGTGACTTTTATATTGCAAAGAATACAGAATACCAGGAAAAAACTGACTTTCACACTATTTTAAAAGTGTATTTGTTCAAATACAAAGTTTGTGTCTTGTTTGTGTCAAAAAGATGAGCAGTGTATAGGAAGTCATCTTTAAGTTTATTCAATTAAAGCATATGTTATGCTTTGTAACTAAACTTATTTTTGTAGCTTTAAAAGGTTTAATTGTTTGTCAGTGTCATTTAATAACAACAACTTGTATTCACAGGGTGTTAGAACAGCACAAACTGACAAAAGAACAGTGGGAAGAAAGAATACAGAACTGGCATGAAGAGCACAGGGGAATGTTAAGGTAATAATGTAAAAAAATGTTCCCAAGACCTTTTATTATTATTAGGATGTATTTTAGGAGGTGGTATATTTGTTTGGAAAACTACTTTCTTTTATTCTGACCAGGGTAGGTGGCTATGAAAAACTTGCATAGAAAGTTCAATAAGAGCTGAATTTCCAGTTAAGGTATTGGTTTACTTACATAATTACTGGTAAAGCTGTCAACTGCCTTTGTCCACAGTTGCCTGCCTCTAAAATACATCTAGGGTTTCCTTAGCTCATGGGGTGGAAAGACAAAGTGCAGTGATTGGACTCTACATGGATACTAGGGTGTAGAGCTCTTAATGAGTATCTGAGTCAAACTACATGTGAACTTCAAAGAGATATTTAGTTCATAAGTAAATTTTACACTAACTGGTTATTCTGCAGTTCCCTTATTCATACAATGTACTCGTGATTTGTTGTCTACACTATACCAATTTTTCTTCTTTCATCAGAGAAGATTCTATGATGGAATACCTTAAGATAGCACAAGACTTGGAAATGTATGGAGTCAACTATTTTGAAATAAAGAATAAAAAAGGAACTGAATTGTGGCTGGGAGTTGATGCTTTGGGTCTGAATATTTATGAGCATGATGATAAGTAAGTGCCTAATACTCATTTTCTAGTTCTGTTCTAGGAGATAGTATCTGAGATTATACAACCCCCACCTTACTGTGTGTTCAATAAGATCTGGCAAAACAGGCTCTCAAAGACCTTCTAATCTATGTAAAAAATAAAAAAAGAGAGATGTTAACTGCCAGAATATTTGAATTTTAAAGAATAAATAGGGATGCAAAAGAAGGGAAAGGAAGAGCAGTTCTGTGGAAACTTAAATTTACATTGCTTAATATGGATTTATGACAACTAGACCGTATTTGTATGGTTTCTTTCCATACTTTTCACTCAAAACTTCCCCTTCAGTCTGGATGAAAAGTACATTTTGAAGCTGAGCAAGATATTTAATGAGAAACATTTGTTAGAGCCCTGACTACAATTATAGATGTTAGAGCATGAAAAACTTTGGTATCTAAAAGTAAAACCTTTTGGACATTAAAGGAAATAGGTCAATCTCGTGTCCCGATAAGGAGATCAAATAATCCATCCTACCCGAAGAGGTATAAAACTGAAATGTACAAAATTTGAAGAATTTGGAAATAGAACAACAGACTTAATTCTTTTCTTTTTTTTACAAAGTAAAAAGTTGTTAGTAGTATCTGGTGTCAACAGTCCATTCACAGTGATTTGTAGTGAAATGTGATGTGTCAAACTCCAGATAGCAGCTGTCAATTTTTGATGTATATACTCTGTAACAAAATTCTGTAAACCTTAATTACCATTAGATGGCAATGTAACTCCTGAAGGAAGGAAATGCTCAGAAAATGTTCTGATCAGATTGAATGATGAGGCAGTTTTCGGTATTCTTTAGCTCCTGATAGTTAGCAATCAAATACTTAAATATTTTCTCTTGCTTGTAATTAAGATAACATGAATTGAAAAATCTTTCTGTGCAGATAGGAGAAAAATATATACAGGTATTGAAGTCAATGCATAACATTGTAACAGTTTCTGAACATGATTTATTTTGCTTAAGATGTGAAGGAAATAAATATAACTTTAAATTTTGGAAACAAAAGAACATATCTTAAATCTGAGCTAAATTGAAGTACAGCACTGCTGAAAGCTACTTTCATTTCACTATTTAAAATGTCAATTTCTGAAATTTAAGTAGGTACTCTCTTTGCTGAAAATAAAACCATCAATAGCTTATGCAGAATCAGTACATGATTGTGATGCTTAGCATCTACCTGATAGAAGTAGAAGTCACAAATTAAAATTCCTTTTGTTACAGTGCCATGTAGTTTATTCATTATGAAATTAATCTGATGGAATAATGTGTTTACAAAAAAAAGTCTACCAAAATATATTTGAACTGTCATTAATGTTTTAATGTAAACATAATGTTGTAAATGTAACATTCTAAACATAACTAAGCGTAATAGTGAAAATGATATGGGAATAAACCTTATTGGATATATATATATAAAGTGCACAGCCTTGCTGCTTCTAATGAGAGCTTCTTCTCTTTGAAGGCTGACACCCAAGATTGGTTTTCCTTGGAGCGAAATAAGAAACATCTCTTTTAACGACAAAAAATTTGTCATAAAGCCAATTGACAAAAAGGCCCCTGTAAGTAGTGTGTAGAATAGTATCCCTTTGTATATGGATACAATGACATTTAAGCCTGCAGGGATTTGGTCTGGCATTATGGCATGAGTAAATATTTTGTGACAATTATTATTCTTACTGGTGGAATAGTCAGTAATCACAAGGAAATTTTGATTTTGAAATACAGTGTGTTTATTTTATGTCTTTTCTGTTTGATACTGTGGTGTGTTTATTTTCTCTCTTTTCTTGTTGATACTCAAGTTTTTGGTCTTTTGTTAAGTCAACTTACACTTCATAATGTGTTGAAAAGACACAGTGTAAGATGCTAAATTCTCTGCCCCCCTCCCTCCTTTGTTTTTCTTTTTTGTGTGTGTGTGTGTTACAGCAGCATGTTTCAGGAGTCTCTAGGTCAAATCTCTTCAGAATAGAATAGAGAATAGTTTAATGTTTTTAGAATTTTAAATAAATTATATAAACCAGCTAATTTCTACTTAGAGTATTCCAGATGTAATCTTGAATTTATCTTACAAGTAGCTAGATTTATAGATTTCACTTGCTCAAAATGTCAAAATACTAGTTTTTACTTAGCCAGTGCAAGCATGCAGTAATGCATGTATTTATTTAGATTAATGGATATACTGGAATTTTTTTGGTAGGATTTTGTTTTTTATGCACCCCGTCTGAGAATTAACAAGCGAATTTTGGCACTTTGTATGGGAAATCATGAATTGTACATGAGGAGGAGGAAACCTGATACAATTGAAGTGCAACAGATGAAGGCCCAAGCTAGAGAAGAGAAACATCAGAAACAATTGGAAAGGTAATTAAAAAACTTCCATGAAACAGAAAAAATTCTCCTACCCTTTTAAGGAGTTACAGAAGTATCAGGCATCTTAGAATTCTAGAAAAGAGAGAGCGGCTTTTCTTTACCGCTGTGTAAGCGGGTGTGTGGATTGGCATGGCTCACCTGTCCTAATAGAAAGCCGTATCTTTTTTTAACTTTCAGCACAGTAATAGTAGCTGTACCGTTGTTTCTCATTATGTTTTTTGTGAAACAGTGTTACGTCTCTTTTACTTGATCCTTAGGGACTTTTATACTCTACAGGTGAGCCTTTAAAGCAAGTTCAGTGAAGAATGGCATGGCTTACCTTTTGTGTAGTTAAAAAATACTGTTGCCATTTCTAGCCAGATTAAACATCATACCTAAAATGCAGATATAATTGTGGATTTATGTGCTTGAACCATAACCAAAGTTGCTGGTCAGTTCTGTTAGTAAATTGTTTTTCTGTATGGTAGTTTGAAACAGAAACTGAATTTGAAACATTTAAAGTCATATGCTTCTCTTCCAACCGAGTAAACTGCAAAGTAGGCTACCAGCATCTGAAGAGTAGAATTTAATATCCTTGAGAGCAAAAAACCCTTTTTACTATTTTTTTCAGGGCACAATTAGAAAATGAGAAGAAGAAAAGGGAGATAGCAGAAAAGGAGAAGGAAAGAATAGAGCGTGAAAAGGAAGAACTAATGGAACGCTTAAGACAAATTGAGGAACAAACAATGAAAGCTCAGAAAGGTGAGCTCTTGGTGGTCATGGATTTCTTAAATCTAATGACGATGTTTAGTTTAGTTGGGTAGCTCAGTTCCACAATTCTCTTTGTCTGTTGGAGGGTTATTATTTTATGGGGTTTTTTTAAAGTTTATTTTTCTAATAATAGCAATATTTGATGTAAAAAATATTCTTTTTTAGTGTTCAGATGACGGTGTGCACACGTTCGTGTGTATCTTTTTAACATAAAATCAATTTCTAATATAACAAAAATTCCAGTTTAGTGAAAAGAAAATAATTGCATACACACTTCAGCTCAGGATTATGTAAGGCTTAAAGTGCTGAAAACCTAGAGTTGGAGGGAGCAGGGAAATTAGAGACGAAGATTCAAAGTACTTCCTCTAGGGTTTTGCTGAATTTAGCTTCTAACTTGGAAATTCCTTTTTCCTTCATTTTTCTATTCCCTTGTAAGATCTGAGAAATTGAAAATTAAAATCTTGTCAGACTTTAGTGACAAAACACGTTTCACCGGTGACAATTTTTGTGTTTAATCACCCTGTAGAGTCCCTGCCTTCATGACTTCCAAGTCCCTCCTCTCCATGTTGTTTTGGGTTTTTTGCTTCAGGTTTGGCTCACATTCATAAAAGTTTTGTTGCTCCTTTCTTTTCCTAACTGTTGGCTTCACGCACGATAGAGAGAATCACTAACTAAATCTATACAAATAAGTTACATATGCCTGCCACTACTCTCTAGCTCTTCTGCTGCATTTTTCAGTCTTTCAGTGCAACATAGGTTAGACACATCCAGACAGGTAACACACTAACTGTGCCCTGGAATTGTTTTAAGGGAGAGCTGTTTGGCCCAGGACAAGAGTGTCAGGGTGATTCTGGAGGTTTGACAGTATATGTTTTCTCATAACTTTTGTAAGTGATATAGCCTAATTTCTGATGCAATACATAATGTTCACATATTGCTGGTCTTTGTGACCTTCTATTCACGTATGGAAAAGTCTTTATATGAATGGTGTCTGTTCTGTAGTTAACATGGTAGTTTAGTGTTCTCCATCTTCATGGAAAGGTTTGTTTGAGCAGTGTTTTCAAATAGTAACAGGTTTTATTTAATTTTCTAAGTACTGCATTTGTAGAACCCCACATACTTGTTATGCTGTTCATTTTAATTTTATAACTGAAGTAGTAGGAAGACTGGGAAAACAACGGACGAATAATGGTTACATGAGACCTACTTAAAACTACAAGTGCAAAGATGAAGCATGTGTCAGCATACCTGGGAAGATGCTTTTCTAGTATTAAACCATATGGTGAAGGGCAAATGGATTGTTCCAAAAAACGAGTCATTGTTACGGTTTTCTGGTGAAGGAGTCTATGGCAGCTATGGCTAGCCAAAAACATAGTGGAAAATTTATCATTAAAATCAGCAAAGAGCTTTAGAAAGACTTTTTTTGTAGTCACTTAATTTTTCACATCAGAGTAGGAGCGTAATTTGTCTGTTTAAATCTTACGTTGCAGTACTCATAGATTATTACTTCCTCCTGTTTCATGAATGGTTCTGCCCTTTAGATTTCAATACTTTGCTAACCAGGCAGCTACACAACTATTACCCTTCCCTTGATTTAAAACTGTTGTCCTCTTTTGTATAGAGAATTTTTCTGACCCTTGCAATTGGTCTTGGGTCATTTTGCTGAAGGCACATGCCTAAATATTCAGCTGCAATTAAGGAATCTGTCAGGCAATTCAATACAGTGGAAGAGTTTTTTATTTTTGTTACTACAAGAGAGTGTGATTTAATGTACATAAAATCTCCTCACTAGTAAGAGTGAGGGTGTATGTTCATGTATATGTACATATATTTTGGTGTTTAGTTTTATCAGTGAGGTGACAATTTTCCGAAACACTGGGCTGTCAGAAATGTCAGGTGAGATGAAGTATATATCCAAAATATGTTGGGGGGGGGGAATCAGACATGTAACAAAGCTCCAGGTAATGTGCTCAACAGCTTTTCTTAGCTTGAGGCAGCTTTGTAAATCTTTGTTAGTGTTGTAGGTTACTTTATTTTGAGCGTGTTACAGCTGTTATCTGTGTTACATATGAGGAAGAGCTTGGTAGTGATACTTTGTCTGCAAACTTTCCTCTTGACAGAGCTAGAGGAACAGACTAGAAGAGCTCTAGAACTGGATCAAGAACGGAAGCGTGCAAAAGAGGAAGCAGAGCGCCTGGAAAAAGAGCGTCGAGCAGCTGAAGTAGCTAAAGCTGCTCTAGCCAAGCAGGCAGCTGATCAAATGAAGAACCAAGAGCAACTAGTAAGAGACTTTAACCCTATTTTTAAAAAAAAAAATTGTAAAAAGTAGTTGAAAATTTAGCTTTTATTCTTGCTTATGTCAAATGAAGAAGTGCATTGAAACAGGTATGTGAGATAGCATTACAGATTGTTGTTGGGAACTGCTTTAGAAAACTGCATTAGATTTGCCACTACTTTGCAAGACAAAAATAAAACTCTGGAGCTGCAGGAGATTAAATGAAGAAGACCTTTCAGACTGACAGCACTCGTTACATTCTCTTTCTAATAGTGTCAGGCTTATCCAGCTGAGAACAAGAGTAGTTCCTTCTGCAGTCCACTGGGAAGCCTGTTCTCTAAGACAGGTCTGTTCTGAAGCTTGGTGGTGGTGGAGAGTTGGTGACCTGTGTTTTGTTGTGGTTGGGGTGTTTGTTGTTGTTGTTTTTTCTGTCCCATTTCCAGCATTTGTAGAATATTCTCACATTCTTTGCTAGACTACTTGTAATTTGTGCATAATAATCGAGAAAGTCATGCAAATAGTAGAAGAAATGATTTCTCAACTATAAACCAGCTTTTTGTCTTCTGCAAATTTAGCACACAATTCTGATGGGAAGATTTAGTTTAGTAGTACTGAGATTATGATCCAGAATCATAATCTTAATGGTGGGACCATTAAGTTGTATTAGACTGAAACAGCCTGAAATGCTAATTTGTAACTGCAGCCTGGTGTTTCCTGGAAAGCTTTGGAAGTGCAGAAGATAAATATTTTTTTCTCGACTTATTTCCATCAGGCAAGAGTACTCTTGATTCATTCCCTCTCTCATGTATGCCTAAAATTTCTATTTTTAGCAGAGAAGTGATGGATGGTAACTAACTCTCTTCAAGCCAGATCACAGCAAAGGCTCTGCTTTCTTCCACTGCAAAGCCAAAACGATACCAAATGTGAACTTCTACTTTGTTTTTTTTGTTTGTTTCAGGCAGCAGAAATTGCTGAATTCACAGCCAAGATTGCACTTCTGGAGGAGGCCAAGAAAAAGAAAGAAGAGGAAGCTTCAGAATGGCAGCACAAAGTAATGAGCCCATGCTGTGTGAAGTCAGAACTTCAAAGAAACTAAGGGAGATGAGTGCGGAAGTCCCACTGGAAGTTCATGTGGTTGAATCTCTCTCTTTCCCTTAGGCTTCAGAGAAGTCTTTCTTAAAGGTTTTTGTTCTCCAGTCTGCTGAAGACAGCCTATGCTTCTATTTAACTCATGTCTTGATATTGCATAGTTGTGAAGGGAGGGGTAATTCCCATCACAAAGGCATGGTCAAAGATCAGAAATGGTTTTCTTTCGTATGGTGATGAAATAGATTGGAGTTTTGTATTAGAGAAGAAAACACCTCAGGAGGAAGGTGTATAAAATCATGAGTTGTGGTGAAAGGATGAACCAAAACAATAATAAAGGCACGTGAAATGCAACTGGACAATAATTTAAAGTAAAATTGTATTTCTTCACAAAATCTGCAGTTAGTTATGGAATGGGAATATTTACTGTGTGCACAGGTTCAAAAAGTGATTGAAAAAAATTTTCCTAAGTTCTGGTTGAGTATGAAATTTGGAGACATCATCTTTGATTTAGGAAATTTCTGAGCCTTAAATTTCAGGACGCTAAGAAAGTTAGAAAACAATCAGTATGACTACTCTATTCTTTCACTCTTTTCTTGTCTACTGCTGGAAATAGCTTGACTTTGGAAATAGCTTGATTTTGAGTCATGTTTTTTTTTAACATGTATCTCTATTTGACAATTTCCAGTGTGTAAGCTAGTCATCTTAGTTATAAAGAATAATTTCCATGTGTCTGAGAACATCTCAAGTATTTATTTTTCTATTGACAAATAATTTTAAAAGATACTCAGTACTGTTTACTGTATTTAGGCTTTTGCAGCCCAAGAGGACTTGGAAAAGACCAAAGAAGAATTGAAATCTGTGATGTCTGCTCCTCCTCCGCCCCCTCCCCCTCCAGTTATTCCTCCAACAGAGAATGAACATGATGAACATGATGAGAACAATGCTGAAGCCAGTGCTGAACTGTCTTCTGATGGTGTTATGAATCACAGGAGTGAAGAAGAACGGGTAACAGAAACACAGAAAAATGAACGTGTTAAGAAACAGCTCCAGGTAATGAAGATTCATAGTTGTATCAACATAATTCAGGCATTGGGTTTTCATTCTTTTTTTGTCAAAAGTCTCGTTGAAGTTATGGTGTGCCAAGGAAACAGGCTTTTTAAGATTTACTAGGTTTATTACTAATTTACCAACAAATATCATTCATAGAGTTCTAGAAGTGGAATAGATAGGTTGTATGTAAGGTTGTGCTTTATAGCTTAAAAGTGTTGGTATGTTGTTGCATTGGCCAGTAAACGTATCTAATAATTATATAATGTCCAGGACATTGAATGTTATAATGCTTTCCTTTCTCACTACCAAAACTCATTAAATGGTATGAACAGAAGCTTGCTTAATATTATTTGTGTGTGTATTTGCAGTCATTCACAGATGTTACAAATGCCAAAACTCAATTATACCCATTTTGGATTAATCTTATTTCCCTGAAACGGAGTGTTTCCTCCTAAAAAGTCTTACACCCCTCGAAGCATAATGTTTTATGTTAGTGGTAACCCTTTTCCTGGTTATGAAATGTCTATTTGGGAAGAAAACAGAGGAAATGGAAAGCTGCTACTTTTTCTGGTATCAGTATCTTAGTAGTGTGTATGTGTAATGTTCTTCCTGCTTGGTTGTCACTGAATAGGATCAGGGAGAAATAGAAGAGCTGTCTTTAGTCAAGCAAAAATTTAAAAATAAGGTGATTTCCCTGCTTTATCCTGCTGGTCCCTTTCTTCTTGGATGTTATGGTGTATGAGGCTTTGGTGGTTTTTTATTTTTTTTTTTTTTTTAGTTTGATACTCACACTTAAGTAAGGAAAGAATCCTATGCTCTCCTTATCTTTCTTTCTGCATTCTTTCTGATAGAGCTCACAGCTTGAGTTACTGAACAGCACAAGCATTTCATAGGTTGACATTCAAGAAATTCTTATCCAAATTGCAGAGTAGTTATTACCAGAAACTCCAGAATCATTAAAAGATTAGTCAGAGCACTTAAATGTAAATATTTTATTCAACAGGCTTTAAGTTCTGAGTTGGCTCAAGCCAGAGATGAAACCAAGAAAACACAAAATGATGTCCTTCATGCTGAGAATGTTAAAGCAGGCCGCGATAAGTACAAGACTCTCCGACAAATCCGACAAGGCAATACAAAGCAGCGTATTGATGAGTTTGAAGCAATGTGAGAGCTGTTATTTTGCGTATATGTTCCTCGTAAAGCTGAACCACCAACTGAGAAAAAAAAGCAGGCCTTTGCAGATTTGATGGATTGCACCCCACTTTGCCAAAGCACTTAATACCAGGTTGACTACAATGACTAGAAGACAAATTTTTAGGGAAGCTATTCCGCAGTAAGGCAGTCTATCAACCCTAGGTTTTGGGGGGGAGGGTGCGGAGGTTAATAGCACTTTTTTCTTCTTTGTGTTTTCAGTTTCTTTGCTTGTTTTTTGGTTTTTTTCCCCTTTGAAAACAGATGTGAAGCATATAATGACTGACAAGTGTGTATATTGCTTAACTTTAAGAAATAGAAAGAAGAATGGAACTGAACCTAAACTGGATAGGTACTATTTCAGTATGAAGTTTTGAAATTAGTTTTCAATGTTAACTACACCATTAAGAGTTTGATATTTGCTGACTTTCAGTTTTGGTTGTTTTTTCCTTGTTTTGGTTTTTGTTTTGTTTTGTTTTTGTGTTTTGTTTTTTTTGTTTTTTTTTTCCCAAGTGAAATTCTTTGGTGTTTCATATCCTGTCATCATTGATGGTTTTCTTTGCCTACCTGTTCACAAAGGTCTGGATGGCAGGTGGTAGTTCCAGGAAATGTTTTTAAATGGAACACTACCTGTGGGCAGCACATGGCTGCTGATAGACTTGAGTAAGTATTGATTTCCTAGGTAATTCTTTTAGATGTGTAAAGTGTTCTAATGCAGCAAAGAGGGAAAAAAATAAACAAAACTTAATGTGCAATTTGCTTGTAATTATTTTATTTGCAGTAGGGAGACCTGGACCTTTCTGGCAAGGGAGCATATGAAAACATCAGTCCCAGGGAGGGGACAGTATCCTACCTCACTACTATGTACATGATGACCGGTCCTTCAAACACCATGAAAAAACTGTTTAAATTGACTATCGCTACACAGTGAATAGTCAATTGCTAGGAGCCTTTACTCCTAGGATTTTATTTTACTTTAGGATGGATTTATAGTGCTAAATACTGTCTAACTGCCTTCTGTTGAGTTTAAATTGTGAAAACATCTGATGTATTTTAAAGCTGTAACCTGTCACTGGTATACTATCTTCTGGGAGGGGTGTAGAATGTGCATGTCAGTCAGCTTGGGTTTCCAAATACAAAATGAAAGTTCCCAGAATTGGAGTAGAAGTGTTGTAGCTTCAGTTTTCAGTGAAGCTAGTATTGTAATTGTCATATCTGATGTCAGATCATTAAGTCCTTTCCCTCTTGAAAAGGAGACCTGCTTTTTTGAGAAATTTGCTTATAAATTGAACTTTAATAACAACTTTACAGTTAATGTGGACTGCAGTTATCCCTTATGTTAGAGAACTCTACTAAATACCTACAGTGGAAGAACCTAACTTTCTCTGAGGATGGTTCAGCTTTTATTCCTGTTTGATATTATGCACTCATAAATTTACACTTATCTATTAAATTTTGCCATTTTATTAAACTTTTTTTTCATGCACAATAGGTTTAAATTTCTTACAAACAGTCCAACTAAGTTTTTTTTATTTTGTGGAGTAAAAGTTTGGCTATGTGGGGTGACATCATGAAAATTAAATAAAGATACATTAATATATTTTTGGTTTGTGGGGCTAAACATATCTGCTTCACCTTGAAGACTGATGTGCAGATGCTGTGCACATGCTTCAAAATGCTGCTTGGTGGAAGTTGGTGTTTCAACTTGCAGTGCATTGTAAGAACAGTTTTTGTTTCATAGGCTTCATACACCGAAGCTTAAGCAAATTTCTGAAGTATTCAAACAGTTTGCCATAGCAGGTGAAATACTGTGCTTCCAGTGAGTTTTCATTTTTCCCTGGAAAGTGTGCACTAACACTGATACATCAGTTTCAGTGTTGGGAAGAAACACCAGTAAAGTTTATTGTTCATAAATCTACAACATATAGGGTAGGGCTAAATGAATTAGATCCATTTATAAAGCTGTGTGATTCTTTTTGGTTTTTTTTTTTTTGTTTGTTTTGTTTTTTAAAATCTAAACAACCAGGAACAACCATTTGTAATACAGACTTTCACAATGAACAAAGTGGTAATAGCTGCTGTCACCAGCAGTTGGGAACACTTACTGGTGCAGAAATACTAAGAATACATTTAATGATTACTTGGTGAAGTAATTTTCCACATGCTTTTTCCTTTAGCATCATGTTTTTGTGTTGTACAATTAAGCTACAATTACATCTACTATTTTGGATAACATTCATTGGTTAACAATAAAGAGATAAAGTTAATTTCTCTGAGGTCCATTGTTGTTATTTAATGCCCTTTATTTCTGACAGCTTTACTGAGCACACTCCAGTGGTGTTTTCTAGAGAAGTGTACAAATTTTGATTATCTTTTGTTTGTCACTCTGGTCAGAATGGAAAAAAAATCTTATTGTATCCCTAGAGAATGGTGTTTTGCTTAAGAAATTATCACATACAGTTGGGAGGAAGCACTGGTGTTTGTCGATTCAAAATAGGATGTGAATCATCAGAGCAAATTTGCTCTCTTGAGAACAGAGGGTAATTTGACCATATAAGAGCTCTGTGGGAAATGTAAGAACTTTCAATCACTGCCTATGTAATGCTTAGCCCAGGATAAGTGAAATTTAGTTTAATGGGTCAATATCTTAAGCACTGAGAAACCTTGAAGTGTTTTTTTGATAACTGCACGTTACAGTGGACAGTGCTGTCAAATACATGTATGGCCGTATGTTTCAGATAAGAGCAAGTTAATGGGCTTTCTCATCTCTCTAATACACATGGAAGAGTCCCATGTAAGTAGGTGTACAAATTATCTGCTAAGCAGTTCTTGCATAAATTAGACCTCCTCTCAGGTGACATTCTATTCTCTCTTATATTTGTTTGGCCTTGTACTCAGTACAAGCACATGACCCTTTTTGTTACTCCATAGGGCAGAATTGCTATGAGGAATTAAAATGTTTACTTCATACTTTTAACTGTGCGTATTTCTAGTTTGATATTTCTCTCTTCTTGGAGCCTCTCTTGCTGAAGCATTAGATTTGAGGTTTGTGACTTTAGTTAGAGAACTTCTGCATAGGTATGTAGCTTCAGAATATTGTGCTTGAAAGGGAAGGTAAGTGCTTTAAGGGATTATATTTTTAAAAATATGCTCTTGAGGTGGAGAGAAAAGGATGCAAAATAGTGCTCCTGTTTACAGGCCAGACTAATACAACTGAGCAGAGCACCTCATTGTGAAAGAAGATATTCTGTCTTCTTGAAGTAGTCCCCTCTTCACATCAAAACCTGTATTTTCTGTTGCCTGTACCAGTTTGAAAAGCATGATTGTGCTTTTGCTTCTGAAAACATGTTCTCTAGGGCTGTTCATGTTAACTGCCTTAAGCACCACTGGGGATAAAGGAGGTTTGTTCTAAATGAAATATTTCAAACCTCTGAGAGCAAAGTACCTCAAATATGTTTTCTAAGTTTTTAAAGGAAATATAGAGATTAAAATGATTAGTTAAAACCTTTTGCTCTTGAAAAGGAACTTTTATGCAAGCATTTACCATGTCTGTTCACATGTGGATAATCTAAAAAGTTGTTCTGCCCAAGACATCAGGTTAGTTTCAAGAATCAGGGATTTTAACCAAAGTGAGGTATCCCAGTGGTGTAGTTGATCCTAAAGTTCGTAAATGTACTTTCTGAGTAAAAATATCACCATAAGAAAATTGAAAGCTTCCTTACAAAACAGCAAAGTTCCCTTATTAATAGAAGTTTTCTCATACACATAATTTGTCTTGGCTAGGTGATAGGATTTTCCTGGAAAATGTAGTAAGTGTCAATGGATCAGCATGCAAACTGTGGTGATTTCTTTGACCCCCTCAGAGCACATTCTGCTGTTTGTGCTTGGAGATGGAGAGCACTGGCCTCCCAGCCGAGATGCTGTGCTGGCTGCCAGCTGGGCAGGTGGCTCAGGAGGTGGTTCTGGCTGGCTGTCGTGGACACCTGCCAGTCAGTGTGTCCCTCTGCTCCATTCCCAAGCAGCATGGAGCAGTGTCTTTCCTCCCCAGCCAGTTGGTCTGCAGGCATGTGAGTTCTATATGACTGGTCCTTTTCCCAGTTTGAGGACCCAGTCAGCAGCAAGGAGCAACTTAGGTCTGGAAGGGGCAGCATTAATGGTAGAGAGCTCTGAGGGAAACAAACACAAATGTTATGTGCTATAATCCCTTACTGGCCCACTTATTCACTTGTGTTAAAGACTCATTTTCAGTGTACTACTGCAGTATCTGTGTGATCAATAATTTGTTTAGCAAATTCAGCAGCCAATTTGCTGGAGTGAGTTTCACTTTTCACTTCACTGGGCTGAGTTTAGATCTAAAGACATAGGCCAGTTTTTTGGTTTTGTTTTGATTAGTGGTGTTTGTCACTTGTGTTCATTTTACTGTTTGAGTTGATAAACTGCTGCTTCGGAGTGCATTTAGAGAAACTTTGGCTTTTTTTGCTTTTTCTTCCTTCCATGCAAGATTGCCGCCATGCCAAATGTGTGTGTTTCGTTCAGTGTGAATGAAGTGGGCTCACCAACCCCAAAATGGTTTCACACCAAACCATCACATTTTTTCACAAGAAGGGACCACAATATCTGCAGCAGTGCCTGCAATATTCAGATATTCAGATATTCAGGAAGAGACAGCTTATGCCCACATAGCTCATAGCTCAGGAAAGACAAAATTAGCAAAAGGAAATGGAGCATTTTGAATTGCTGCTATTCTATGAGGTGTTTATATTGGCTTTTGTAAATAATGTGTCAGAGTGTTTCTCTTCACAGCAGTAGGCTTTAGGCAGCAGAAGAAACGAGGGCAGATGGAAATGCACATCAAAGGAGAAGGCCTGCTTGGTGTAAATATTCCTAATGCACGTGTGCATAACAGTTAATGTTTCCTGTGCTCTGGATAAGTGGATCAGGTGAAAAGAGATCAAGCTCAGAGGTAGGACAATTGCATTGCTTTTTCTGCTTGTTTGGGGTTTTTTTGTCTGTTTGTTTACTTTTAAGCTACTGTATTTACAGAGGAGGAGGTGCCATTATCTGAAGGCTGTTAGAAAGCCTGCTGCCCAGAACCAAAAGGTCTTGGAGTTCTTCAGGCCATGTGCTCCCAGACTGGCTTCTGTATTATAACTTGCTAAATTTCAGCAGAAGACATTCTCTGCAGTCTGGTAATTTTGCCTTAGCACGTTTGTGCATTGACAAGAGCTGTCTGTGTCCATGCAGTGTTCTGGCTGTCCCACTGCTTGTTCCAGCAACACAAAACCCCTGTGTACCCATGTGAAACAGTAATCACCCGACAGGCTCCGTGACCGCATACGCTGAACTCTGCGGGATCTTGTATCCAATCTACAGCTCCCTATGGCCTCAGCTTTCACACTTCTTATTCACCCTTGATTTCTTCATTAAACTTGATACAGTATTTAACTTCTTAATCTCTAGCTTCAATAAGGTTCTACTAAACTGCACTTCCAGTGAATTGTTGACTACTGTGTCAAATGTTTTCTTAAAATACATTATACTGAGGAGCTGAAGTTGCCACACTTTACTTTTATTTAAATAGCACTTTGATTAATTAATAATCCCTGTGAATATGGTAATTCCAGTTGTATTCCCATAAAGAGATTAATTTGCATTGTGACTGAGGCTCAAAACTTTTCTGCCAAGCGTATGTTGATCTCCAACAAAATAAATTGAGAAATAACATCCAGAATACACAGACCAGCTGATCCTGCCACCACCTTTATTTTGGGAACAAATTCATTTAGGTGTAGGGATTTGGGACAGGACCCTTGTTCACACATCAGAAAAATTTCTAAAAATGGTAAGAAATTTTTGTACTATTAATTGGCACTTCTGCTGTTTGTTTCCTGTCTTTAATAGTTTCTCTTCAGTTAAATTCACTTTTTGAATTCTCGGATCTCTTCTCTTGTGAACAGTAGTTCGGGCATCCATCTTGCTGCTCTGTGCTAATTGTTGTATTCCATAGCATTTGGAAACATAGCTCTTACTCTTCTTTTGCATTTAGGATCTTGGCTTTGTTTTCAACAAAGCCAGTGAACTCATCTTTAAATTTAGAGCAATTACTGCTGCTCCTTGGAATAATCTTTGGATCGATTTTGGCTACATGTCTTCTTGTCAGTTCACACATGGCATATGCCACCCTATACAATAAATAACTGTATTGACTAGGTAATAATTTCTGGTAGCTTTCTGGAAAACAGAATGTCAGAAAACAACTATGTTAACGCAGAATCTGAATTACAGTGTTTATACCTACGAGGTTCAACTTGGAGCCCAGCCCTACTCAAACACACAAGGGAGCACGTGGAAGAGAAATTCTGTGCTGTCGCTGTGTAGCTCATCTGTCTGCCTGGACTAGGCAAGAGAAAGCACTGGAGCAGGATGGTAATGCCTGCCCAAACAGCAGAGTTATCAGGCACAACTGCGTGGTGCTGTGGCTTTGCTTTTCCACACAACAGGTGTGCTGGATGTAAAAATACTGGGGAAAAAAACCAACAAAAAACCTCCATGAAATAGTTGTTTTTTCCTGTGGAGCCTTATTTAAGAGAGTTCTGCTTATATTCCTGCCTGGCTTTGCAGGTCACCCTGGTAAAAACTCAACTCTATAGCATAAGCGCAGATACCTGAGAGGAGGAGTCGGGTATCCCATGGCTCTTCAGCCCATCTTGTCTTTAAGAAGCTGTTGCAGGTGTGTGTGGGAAAGGTCTTATACCTGTCTCTGTTCATTTTAACACGGGGCCCTGAAAATAAAATCTAGAGAACCTTCTTTCTACCAGTGACTTCTGTATCCTTTGGGGTGGCCCTTTCGTATGTGTTTCTCCCACTCTCTGAACTGGTTCTTCTCACCTCTCTTTTCTGCTTTACTGCTGGGTTTGGCCTTGTCTTTGGTGTTTTGTTTGGTTTTTTGCTTGTTTTTTCGCTTGCTTTTTTTTCTTGCTAATGTGTCATGCCATGTATTTCATCCAAAGAATAGGTTTCAGTTTAGATCACTGAGATCTTTAATGCAATTAAATAACTTTGTTTCAGTAGGAGAATGCAAATTAAGACAAGGAAGGGCAATGTTAGGTAATTGTTAGTTTAAAAACATTGTGGGGGGAGGTTTAAGCCTTAAGTCTTAGCAAAAAAATACGTTACATTAGCTGACTACTTAAACTACAAGGTGAAAACTAGAGGCAGACAGCTACATATGGCATGGTGGACTTCTCAAACTAAATTCATGATAGAA